ATGGTGGAACACTATACAAGTTTGTAGATGGACAATCTGGAAAGAGAGGGACTTGAGATGCTTTAAAGATGAGAACAATCACATCCAGAAGATGAAAGGCTAATTAACATTTCTTGTTTTACTTTTGGTGTAGCATGGAACTTTCAGATGAAGCTTTAATCTATCTTAGAGCTCCTAGAATTCCTATAGATTTAGATAGGGCTATACTTAAGTCTTCACACTTCTGGCACAATGTACACTGTACATTCTTGGTGCTGTTTATGAATACAAACCTACCATTTCATAAGAAAAACATCATCTAAAAAAACTAGAGTAGCAAGTTCATAGCAATTGAGAATGTACTACCAAATTACGGACTATCTTTCTAGATTTTTCCACTGCAACGCAACTAATTGTAGAAAGGGACATCAGTAATTAATCAAACCAGAAAGAACACTATGAAAAATGTTGTTATGTGTTGCAATAGCAACAACCTTGCTTCACAGTGATATAACTCCAACACTATATAAAGACGAAACATCAATACAGTGTTTAAGCAAATTCAATTCGACGAAAACACATGACAACAAACAGATTCAGCAACATCACAAGGGTAATACTAAAAACCCATTGTAATCGAACTACTGGAAATGAGAAAGAAACAGTCAATAAAGTGTTTAAGCAATTCAATCATTCGACTTAAACACACTATAACATACAGATTCAGCAACTCTTATAAGCAATTACATCACCAAGGAAAGAACTACAAAACCATTGTAATCAAATTCATAGAAATGAGAAAGAAGCACTATTACAAGTATGTCAACTATCTCCAGCTTAACAAACAAACATATTTCAGCACCATAATAGTGTAATCTATTATCTGATTATGATCAAAAAGTTAACTAATAATCCAACATAACCAAAGAACTATCAAAACTGTAAATTCCAAAGCTTGATCAGCACAAAACCAAAAAGACTAAAACTTATTGAAGATCAAGCTAAGGGTTTACGCTTTTCGTCCGTATCGAAGATAGCAAATAACGCCAATCACTGCAACTGCGACAACAGATGATGCAGCAACCACTGGCAAGTTTACATCACCACCAAGAAAACCAACGCTATCATCACCCACAGGAATGCCATTAATATTGCTAGCAACAAATCTTTCAGCAATAATCCTTTCCTTCTCCATCAATTTCTTCTCCAACTCTGCGGCTTTCTCAATCATTTCCTTAACCCTCTTCTCTAATTCCTCCTTCACCAAATGAAGCCCTTTCTTCTCCTCTTCCCATTCCTCATTGTTCACAACAGTACCCTTCAATTCCTCAATATGCTTCTTTAAAATCCTAATTTCTCCTTCCTTCCCTTCAACTTCTTCTTTCTGATGGTTTCCACTAGCTTCTAACTTCTCCAATTTCGACAACAACAGATTCTTCTCACTCTCAACAGCCTCCAGCTTCACACTCTTCTCATTTACAGTACTCTTCAATCCCTCCAACGCCGATTTCACCTCTGACAACTCAGAATTTGAACCTTGTATATCACTCATAGCAGTAATGAGATCATGTTGCAGCTGAGATACCTCCCCTTCCATCTGAGCAGCTCTAGCGGCAACTGATCCTAAAGCCTTGTTCTCCGACTCGAAATTCTCCACCTTCTTCAACAACTCATCCTTTTCGTTCTGAGATTCCTCGATTGAACTCTTGAGCTTCTCGATTCTCTGTTTGATCACATCGTTCTCGTGAAGAAGCTGTGTTTTCTCTTGCTCAAGCGCCGCTATCTTCTGTTTCAGTGCAGAGGTTTTCGACGCAGCATCGGTAGTTTCGTCAACGGCGATCTCCACCGGCGCATCGTCGAAAACCTCGCCGTTGGTAACGGTATCATCCGCCATAGTCAAATCAGATAAACAGTAAACAGATTAATCAAAAAAACTGAGCTTCAATGAACTCCAAGCAGCCAAAATTAGGGTTTTTGATTGTAGAAAAAATGAGAATAGTTAGAAAAGATATATCTTTTTGTGGAATATAAAATCTTGTCGGAAAAGGAAAAAAAAAGAATAAAATGAAACCTCACTTTTCAAGCAGATGGATGACACGTGTCTTTATTCTGAATCGGACGGTGTATATTAACCCATTTCCAAAAGCAATTGAGTTTGTAGGTGTTGTATAACTATTGGGCCATAATTGTGAATTGGACAGCCCATCAAGTCCTAGCTCTAAGGAGAATTTTTCTTGAAATAATTTTGTTTTTGACAATTATTTTCTCAATATTTTTTATTATATAAAGATAACAATCTTTTGTGACATTATTTGTTTCACATAATCACTCTAGTGATACACATGTTTCTATTATATTATATTAATTTTTATTGTTATTTTTCACGATCTTCCTTCTCATCTTTAATAACTATCAAATGAAATTGAACAAGATTGTTGCAACTATTCATTCTTTAATTTCGCAATTATAATAATCTTTTCAAGAGGTGGAGCCACCATATGTTTACGGAATTATTTAAATCTCCTTTGACAAAAAATTATATTATTTATTTTAAATAAAAAACTTTATTTATTTATATAGTAGATATTGAACATTATTTGATTAATTCAGGTTTGTATATCTTCAAATTTTGAATTCACTTAGTAAACATTTTGGGTCCATCCCTGATCTTTTCTTACTGTATTTCATGTTTTGTATTTTATGTTTTATGATGATTTTTTAATATAATTTACTTGAATCGAGTTTTATCGAAAATAGTCTTTTACCTTTACGAGATAAGATAAAATCATACATTAGTGCCAATCATCTTACTATTCTTTTGCTAAAAAACTTTGCCTCATTTGTGGGGGAGATCAATGGTAGCAACAATTTATAGGAGTTCATGATATTTGGTTACAGATGATATGATAATATAAGAGGACGAAAGCAATATAATTGATCTTACAAGTTAGTAACTCTTTTATATTTACTTTTGTAAGTATTGATGACACGTTCTTATTATATATGACATCAAATATGAACCTCCATTACATTTGTCATCCTCTAGTATGATATTCAATATTCAATCGATCACTTTATTTTCTTGGATTATATACTCCAGGTAAGATATGTGAAACTTCCTTTCTTGCTACTGACTTGTATATCTCATTTCCCCTTAACACAACACCAAATTTATACTTTATGTACTCTGTTTTAGTCCTATTCGATCAAAACTAAGACGTGCTACAAAAATCAACTCTCATGTAGTTTTATTTATAGTAATTTTCACATATAACAAACATAAAAGTCATATTTATATGTTATAACTATAATTTGCATAATTTCGCTCCATAGCAAACATGAATATGTATATTTCGTTATACGTATATAAAAGAAATTAGTTATATAATTTGTTTTTATTTTCGTATACATATACAAAAGATCAGTTATATTATTTTTGTTTGTATAAAACGAGAAGAAGATAAATGCAGAAGAAAACTAGGCAGGGAAAGATCGTATTTGTATAATCATAAGTTTATAAGACAAAAAGATATGTCTTTGTAAACACAAACGCTATGTATAATACATTTGTGTTTGTATAAAGTGAGAGAGGCGAGTGAGAGTAGTGAGCGACAGTTGGGAGAGTGGTGAGCGAGATATGGAAGAGGAAGACGAAAATATATGTATATATATATAATTTTCTCTCGCTTTATATAAAAACAAACACATTAATACATTTGTTTTATATAAAAGCGAAAGAGACGTGAAAGATTACCAGCGAGAAAAAGAGTGGCGAGCAAGATTCACCAGGAGAGAAACAAAACAGCAATTATTCGTTGTAGGGTACAATTAAATCAAACTATAAATATAATATTTAATTTAAATTAATAATTTATTATTATACATTACTTTTCTCTTTCTTCATTTAACATAACTATTTGGGCCTCAAAGAAAGCCCCACTAGTGAGATGGATCAGAAAGCCCAGTAACTCCACATGAACAATTGAGATCCATATATATTCATGTTCAGAATTCTGCAATCGAACAAGGCATATATATTCTTTGCTATATTACACGTGGTATAATAACATAGGCACTAATTATTTTACGAAAAATATTTTCTTCAATTATATAGTTCGTCTTGTGTAATAAGAAAGTCCACGTCGAAACACACTTATCGATTCAAAAACTTCTTCAATTATACAATGTATTGTATGTAATAAAAAGGATCACGATAAAAAATAATTATCGATTCAAGAACGTAACAAATTTGATCGATAGAAATGAATAGCCATCGTACTAAATGGGGTACAAGTTGTCAGACATTGGATGCTGTGTTGTACCTCATATATATATAATATATATTACCTGTCCTATTTTAGGAAATTGACTGCTGCTACACCACATGATTTATAGATTTCAACCCCACATTCATGTAAATACCATAACAATCACTGCACTTAAATCCAAAACTCAGGCTAGGCTGTATAAAATTTTTATATTTATCCATATCATTTTATCAAATTTATTAGATTTTCTATTTCTAATTTGATAATATCATTTTTTGGATCTAACATTATACGTTTAAAATCAGAAACAAAAGGGGAGGGGGGAACAAAGACAAACTAAGGACCATTTTTCTTGGTAAAGAGAATTGGAGATAACTCCAAATCACCACATTTTTACTACATGATCCAAGGACATTCCTTACTCTTTTTTTTCTTTTTTTACTTTGATGTTCAATATCTTATCTTAAATTTATTAGATAATATATTATTTGAAACATATGAAATAACTTTTTATTTTATAAAATACAAATAAAATTTGTGTGCATGTACTCTATCTTTTTCATACTCACTTATAATTTTACTGATGTGTCATTGTTGTTATTGGTACAGAAGCAAAATCAAAAATCAAAACTTATAGGTACAAAATTTTAAATTATTGAATCTAAATTCAAAACAAATTTAAAGATTATATCAAAATTAATTGGACTCTTTACTCCAACTATCTAAATCTATATCATATAAAATTTCATTTCACGAGCTCAAATTCAAGATCTCTTTCCACCTATCACCATGACAATTGATTATATATATCTTCATTTACTAAATAATTCCCAAATCTCCATAGTACATATCCTATTAGTTATTCCTCCAAAGTAACACAATATTATGATAAATTTAATTAAAAGAAAATTAATTCCTATTTGAAATCTCTAAGATCTCTCTACCCCCACCCCCAACCCTAACCAAAAAAAAAGGACAAATTAAGATAACCAAACAATTGAATAAAGGTGCAAAGTTTTTAATTGCCCTTCTCCTTAGCTCCAAAACAAAACAAAACAATTAAAAAAAAAACTAAAGTTGATCTTTGATTACTAACCAAAATGTACCCAAAAAAAAAGAGAGAGACAATTTTAACCTCCAAGTTTCATCCTTTGTTTGTCATTTCCTTCAACAAAGTTGGCAAGTACTTTGAGTGCTTTAAGTTGACATTGCAATTGCAAAATATATCCAGCAGTTTCTTCAAATAACCTATCAACTCCAAGTGTTTCACCTCCTGGTACTATCTTTTGCAATGCCAAAATCTTCTCTTCCACTTCTTCTTCTTCTTCTTCATTATTTTTAACAATATAGCCACTTTCTCTCCTTCTCTTTTGCCTTTTACACACATTCTTATCTTTTCTTGAAAATGTGGCACTTGATTCTTCTCTATTACAACTACTCTCCATGGAAATTTTCTTTTCTTTTCTTTTCTTTTTTGTGAAGAGAAGAGAATGGTTATAGGGTGAAAGTGGTGGACTGTTAAATTATTGTTTGTGTTATAGAAATGTCAATGCCAACGAAGCTGGGCCTACTTTTTTGGGCTTTTGGGTTTTTATTGATCAATATTTATTGGGGAATTGTGTATTTTAGGAGAGAGAATGTTATCTATCTATTCACTTTCAGTAAAATTAAAAAAAAAAAATTATGCAATATTTTTAAAAACAGAGAATACAAAACTTATAGTCGTGCATTTAAGTTATTTTTCCATCTTTAGTTATTTGTCACCGCCAGTAACTCTCACGCCTCAAATGCAACTATACATAAGCATGTTTTATCATTAACTCTAAAATATTATTGGACAGAATGAAATTCCACGAATAAGATATGAGAAGAGTAAAATGTACAGATTGTATATTTACTTAGAAGTAGAGTGATTATTTTTAGAAAAATTTCGGTTTAAGTGTAACAAAAATTATGATATAAAAAAAAGAAGATAATGAAGAGAATATAACAAATATCAAGTAAATAGCGCAAATATAATAGACATAAACAAAAACAATGATTTTGATAATCAAAATATCATGAACAACAGAACAAGATATATCATTAAAATAAACAATGATAAAATAAAAACTATAATAATACAACTAATACTATTATAAACACAAGTCACCCTAAACAAAACAATAGCACCCTTTTATTTATCGTCATTCAGAAACCTAAAAATATGTCAAATCATCTTCTTCTTTTTTTCAATTTGCTTCTTTCTCTCTTTATACCTTCTATAATCAACGCCACTCATTTTTCTAATTAATGCATTCATACGTCTTCTTTTCATATATTTAAATCATTTTAATCTCGTGAAAAATATGACGTAGATGAAAGAGGCGAGCGAAAACGTAGAGATCGAGTGTGATCGAGTAAGTGAGGGTATATGAAAAACAGGATAAGGACGCAGAAGGTGGGGTCCATAATAAGAGGGAAAAAAACAAAGTAAAAGCACATGTGATCACATGAAATTCTCGAAGGTAACACCACACCCATGTGCTCTCTCTTTCTATCACTAACAACACCCAATAATCATGGATCCACGTGGCAATCTTTAATTGCGGGCCCTACCTACCCCCTCTTATCCTTGAGCCCCACCACACAACACAACAATCCTTTTCTTTAAATAATATTAATAATAATCTGATGACGTGGCTCACTAATTTTGGAGACTAGTCACTCAAATCATGTTTCCAACAAGGAGACATTAGTCGGCGTAATATTATTTATCGAAAAAAAACTTATTCGCATGTGATTTATAAAATAAAATATGTATAAATTAAATATAATTAAATAAAATAAATTGTAAATTTATAATACATTATATATATATATATATATTGATTTGATGTGGATTAATTTTTTCCTTATTTATCATTTTATTTTAATTTAATTATCTCATTTATAAGATCCCGAGGAGCAGAATTAGTACACTGCATATAGGGAGGAAGAGTGCAAGATAATGTCAATATGTCTTTTTATAAATTTAAATTCGTCAGTGTGATTTTGAATTGATATTACTAAATAATTAAAGAATGGAAGATAAAAAAATGTTACTCCATTAAGTTTGAAATTATTTTTATAATTAAAACAAGTGAGTTATTCAAAACTCAAGACAATTATTGAGACTTTTTTATCATATTTACTCTTCATTTAATGAAACACTAACTAAATTATTCTATATTTTTCTAGTAAATCAATTTTAAATTAAATTAAAAGTCAAGAACCTAACTTTTAATTTACGTTTTAAATATATATATATATATAAAGGTATTAATGATATAGTATGAAATAGTGGGAGTATTCATTTTTATAATATGTTACACAAACTAAATAGTACATTTATTGCAATAAATAGTCAATATATATATATATATATATATATATTTATATGATTTTATGGGGGTGACTACTTTGTAGGGGAATTGGGATTGTGATCAGAGCTGCCAAAAAAATTGTTACCTTGAAGATTACATGTTTACACATTATCTATATTTTATACACCTTAATATTTATTTATTGTATCAATTTTTGTAATATAGTGTACGTTGGGAAGTACAAATTTTCTTGGATCACTTGTAATATATATATATATAATAAATTGTTGAACGTGATCCAACTACAACTCACACTTAGCCAGGTTGATTCCCCAAATCTCACTTTTAATTACTTTTTTCCTTTTAAAAATTATAAATTTTGTACTGTGAATTTTCAAAAAAAAATCATGTGACTAGCTACTAGATTTATTGTACAAAAGTAAAATCTAACTTTGATCTTATTTTACTGGTAGTAGATATACCCCTTTTTAATAAGTTATATCTTGGTAGATATATATATAGCTAAACCTTTTTGAACATGTTACTTTTTATTTCTTTTTGTTTGAGTGGGCCGTGAATAGGAAAGAGTGAAAAAGGAACAAAACATTTTAAAATATTCATGGTTTGATTATAAGAAGATATAGAGATCGAAAATTACGGTTGAAAGTTTAGTTAGTGTAGATTAAATTATGAGATAAATTTTATCTTTGTGTCGTTAAATTCGTTCTTATAATGAAACATTAATTATATAAAAATTGGACAAAATTGTCTTGTAGTAGAACGCATGTGACTACGTTCATCCCACCAACATACAAATTAGCCAAAATAATTTGTTCATGAGTTGATCCCACTAATTAGTTCATTGATCTAAATCTAATCCACCTGTCATGTATCTTAATTAATTCTTAATCTCAATTACTGAGATTGTTGTGTTAGGACAAAGTCATGATGGGACCAATTAAGGAAATTTCTAATTAATATCAAATCAACCGCACTAATTTCTCTTTCAAGTAAGAAAAAAAAAGTAAAAGATAATTAGGTAAAGCTTCATGTATTTGGTGTTGAAAATAGAATATAAATACAGATCTAGTTAGTACATAATGTACCTTTATTCAACTATTATTATTCAATTAGGAAATGATGAAAATTCAACAAGTGATTAATTAATTAGGACCTAATATGTGAAACACATTAAAAGTTTTACTAACGCTAACATGTTTTGCAGGTCTTTAAATATTTTTTTGAAAATATGTAGCGCTACTAGTAGTTTATACGAAATCCATCAAAATTTACTAACTTAAAATATCGAATTATTATATAAAAAAAATCTGATACACTAAGCTTTCGCTATATATGTAGGGTTTCCAGAAAAATCTGACTACAAAAATCTATTGTATAGGGTGAGAATTGATTGAACACAGATACGTAGTATTTTTTTAGGAAAAGAATGAAAAGAGATGAGGAAAGTTGATTCCTCGAGAAGAATAAAAGGTAAAGCAAAAATACTCCAAAGGCTAGGAAGGTTTAGACGCTTAATTATGACGTGGGCAAAGAGAGATGAGCTATCTTGGACGGATCTAGAGGCTATAAGAATATTAGTTGGCATCATTAGCGATATCTCGATGCATCCTTAATTTAATAGTTTTAGTATTTTAGGGCTCAATTGAGACATTTCTATTAGCTATTGCCTCATTATTGTAACCTATAAATAATTCAATTTGTTCTATTCATTTAAAAAGATATTGTGAAAAAATCTGACTATAAAAGTTTGTTGTATAAGGTAAGAATTGATTGAATACACATGACACTCGAAGAAAAAAATAAAGAGAGACCGGACAAAGAAACCAAGTTTGGGGGAGGGGGGGGGATGACAAAACGTTCACGTGCTCGGACAAGCTCGTGCTGATCTAAGGGCTATAAGAGTATTAGTTGGCACAGCTAATAACATCTTCACGCGACTATTTTTTATTAAATCTCTAAACTCTTAATTAAAGAGCATCAATTTTATCAATTACGTGAAGGTTTTCCTTCGTTACTCAACTATATGAAGTGTGTAAGGTATTGACAGGATGAAGTGGGTAAAAAAGACACTGAAACAATGTGGGGTTCCTGTTGAGACAATGCACACAACACACATTATGGATACTATGTATAGCAGGCTGAAAAAAGGATATTTGAATAATCATAGCTATGAGGAGAAACACATGCTATGCAATTTCCATGAAATTATGTGCCTTGTCCCCCACCCCACTACTCCACCACCCCAACCCAATCCTACTTGGCATATGATATACTATTTGGTTGGAAATTGATTTTTTTACTTTGTTCGATGTTTATATTGAAAACGGAAGATAGTAGATATTTTTAAAAATAGATAAATTACGTACAAACGAACTCAAACACTTTGAATAATTTAACCCAAATACATACATGGTTTTGTTTTTCTTTTAGCTTTTTGAGGTGAGGTTGATACATGAGTGGTGAGAGAAGGGAACTTAGTTGAGGTGTTTATGTTTAATTAGAATTATGCACCTAAGTGATATATTATAAAATTTCAATCATTAAAAATATAATTCTAACATATCAAGTCATGTTACATACTGACACAAGAATCATCAAAATCAGAATATTGTACACTTTATTTTACTTACATTTTCCATCATGCATAGATCTGACTAAACATGTCAATGACCTTATATATGTTTAAAAATACATAAATCTTAAATGTGTTCTATAACATTTCAGAGAGAAAATTCAATCAAGAAATATACAGATAAAAAAAAATGAGGAAGATAAAAACTTTTATATTTCAATATGCCAGTTTAATAAAGACATGCCCTACATAGGAAGATTTGAAGGTCAAGAATTATAGATAATCGAGTGTCGTAATTATATTAGTTAGTATATGTGTAGTATTTTATTTTCCTAATTTCCTATTACATGTTATTTCATATGTCTAGTTTATCTTGCTATTTTATTGTTAATTTTTTTTTTTATCGTGATTTGATTGTATTTTTTTGAATTGAGAATTTATCGAAATTATCTTTTCTACCATACAAAGATAAAATAAAGATGCATTTGTGTATTAGACTGAACCCCATAGCTGGACAAATTAATTTGGGAGGATATGTAAGATGAGTTTTGGCTACCAATACATATTAAATTAATTTGGATTTCATGAATA